ATACCAATGCATCATAAAGATAGCAAAATGTAATGTAAATTAACAAATGGGGGACAAAGATTGGAGTTTATAGAGACTAAACATGCTACACATATGATTTAGTGTTAAAGGGATACTCCACGCAACAATGAAAATTCTGTCATCATTTACTCACCCTCAAGTTGTTGCAAACCTGTATGAGTTTCTTTCTTCTGCTGAACGCAAAGGAAGATATTTTGAGGAATGATTGGAACCAAACCGTTGTGGGGCACCATTGACTTCCATGGTAGAAAATACAAATACTATGGAAGTCAATGGTGCCACAGTTCCAATCGTTCTTCAAAATACCTTCCAACGGATGCCTCCTGGCATCCAATCTAGATAAGAGTCCAGGGGTGCACTGACACAGCAGGGGACCAACGGGGTAACAACTGGGAGGGCAGGGGAATTGTTTAATTTGAGGTTCCAGTTGCCAGAAAACACAGAGGATGGGATAGGAAGGGTGGAGATAAGTCCAGAGGCATATCCCAGCCTGGCAGAGACTACTGTAGTTGGCGTGTTGGAAAAGCCATGAATGCCTGGTCGTGCTGAAGGTGGGGCTACTGGTATCGCAGTGGTGCAGTATTCACCGGTGCCAGCCAGTGGGATAGATGAGGGGCCAAACTTGGATGTCGGCAGGGCACCACATCTGGCTTGAGAAACATGACCAACATGAGTAACTCTTGGGCTGGGGGCTATCTCAGAAACAAACTCTTGACTAGAGAAGGACTTAAGAATGAAATCACATTGATCACACTGGTAGGGAAGGTGAATGTCTCAGGGACAGACATTGGAATGCCCTCGGGGGCTACAAAGGTAGGCTTGGGAGGACCTCCAGGACTACTGACTGGACTGGACTCTGGAAAGCCCTTGGGAGCTGCATAATTAAATTCAGAAGCGTCCTCATGGAACAAACTTAGGGACTGACTCTAGAACTCTAGAAACTAATAATGACTCAAGTGTTACCTCATACTTCTGTGGAACTTACTAAATTATTTGGATCAGTATTCTAAAGTGAAGATCATGGGAACTAACTCGTGTGGTAGTTCAAGTGTTACTACATACTTCTAAAGAAATTTTCTAAAAGTATACTAAAGTTCACCAAACTTCTCAAACGCTTGAAATGACTTCAGTTGAATCGTTACCAGCTAGTTCCCATGATCTTCACTTTATAATACGGATCCAAATAATTAGTCATTCCCAAAGAAATATGAAGTACCACTTTAATCTCAGCACAATTACATACTAATTAATTAATCAGAGTTTCTTTTTAGTTAATAGACGTTACTAGATTATTAATAAACTTTTTCAGTAGTTCTCTGGGAAGCATTCAAAAATAGTATTTATTGATTAGTTAATAATGAAGTACCACTTTCATCTGTGCGCTATTACTTACTAGTTCGTTAATCAGAGTTTCTTTACTAGATTGTTAATATTGTGTTACTCATTGGTAGTAATTCATTAACGAAGTAACTGTATTCTAAAGTGTTACCGAATCCGTGAGCAAAGTCATAATGAAGCTCGATATATTAATTACTATGGGGAACTGGGGTGGGATTAAATAATTTGTCTTCTTCCCACTCCTTTTCAGATTTCGATTGTTACAGTCTAATACTGCTTTTTTGTTGTTGTTGTTTTGTTTTGGGGTTTTTTGCACTGTTGACTTGACAATATTGTTTGTCTTGTACTTCTGTGCCATTGCCTGAAATAAATCAGGACGAAGACAGTCAAATATTTTCCATTAGAGAGTAATGATTTCAGTTGTAAACTTAATCCTAAAAACAAAAAATATACTGTCCCTTGGATTAATTTAGATATCTTAAAATTAATGAAAAAACGGGATCTTGCTTTAAAAACAGCAAACAGATCAAAGTTTAGTCATGATAGACAACATTTTGCTATATTACGGAACAAGGTGGTAAAGTCGTTGAGAAAAGCAAAGGCTGATTTTTTTCTGAGGATAATTAATGATAATGAGGCTAGAGGTAATTCACAAACAATATGGAATAGGTTGAGCTACTTAAAATGTGACAATATAAAGGATAGGTCTTCACTTGAATTGATGGTTAACGGGAAGCTGACTAACAATCCAGCTGATGTAGCCGAAGCACTAAATTATTATTGTTGCCTCGGTAGTCATAATTACTCAATGTTTTTCCCCTAAGTATACTGAAACTCATACAGTTCATACAGGTGAACAAGCCCTTACTCTTAGGGCAGTCTCTGAATTAGCCGTCATAAGATCAATTACATCTCTTAAACCATCTAAAGCAAAAGATGTATTCGGAATGGACGTGGTAATGCTTAAAGAGCTTAGTGAGTCAATAGTTAATCCTGTCACAAAAATTATCAATCTTTAAATTTCTCAGGGGATGTTTCCTTGCACTTGGAAGTCATCTGCAATTGTGCCTATATTCAAAAGTGGCGATCCTCACTCTGCTAGTAACTACAGACCTATTAGTATTCTACCTATTGTCTCAAAGGTTGCAGAGAAATTGATAGCTGCGCAAATCACTAATTATTTGAATAATAGTTCTTTTGTTTTACATCCAATGCAATTTGGCTTCAGAGCAAACTATTCAACTGAGATGGCAAATTGCTTTTTCACTGAGAAAGTTAAAGTCCCTGTAAAGTCAAAATTAAGTATGTGTTCTGAGTTTGTCACACCACAGAAAAAATGTGTAATTAGCCACCCAGCCAAATTTGAATGATAAAAAAAGTCGGGAAGTACATAAAATAAGCTATCAAAATCATGAAAAAATGAGCAGATTCTCTGCTCTCAAACGCTGGGGGCGTGTCCGCTGGCTGTGCTGAAACCACGCCCACTCACGGGAAAGCTGTTGACGGTGATATTAGCTGATTAGCTTTTGGAGACGGGAGGATGAACACTGAGGCGGGAGATCGTCGTTTCGGCCCCGTTCACCAGTAACAGCGGACTATCAGTGAATCCAAGTTGTCTCTGAGGAAAGTTTATAAAACGATCCAGTGTAAAACGATCACTACAGAGGCGGGTGTTGCTGTTGGTGATCCTCAGCTCCTCGTCATCAAGGTAACGTTAGGCTCTCTAAAAATCTCTTGTTGATGTGATCGTTTTTAAGGGAATTTAAATGAAGATACCGATCTGTTTTGTCATGATCGCATCCAGGTAGTAGCCCATGCATGTCCGTGTCGAAGGCATAGCTAGCTAAAACTGTAGGCTCAGCTGTACTGTAGTAACTAATAGTACTGACAGTCACTCGCGATTGAGCAGTGAATGCGAATGTGCTCAGGGAGTGTGTGTGGAGAGAGGGCGATCAGACTCTGTGCGTCATCAAATAGGGGGGTGTCCAGCAGCTCATGGGTTCCAGTGCGTCATCGAGCCCTGTTTTAGCCCCGCCCAATTAATCCGTAAAATTGCAATGGTGAAAAACTGTTTAACGGTCTAACTCCACATTTCAGTACTTCACAGTTCACAGACTTTGTAATATGTTTTAGCAATACATATGTAACATTTATAATGTGTTTAGAACTTTTTTGTAGAATTGACTTTACAGGGACTTTAAGTCTCTATTAGATAAAGGAGGGGTTGTCGGGGTTGTGTTTCTTGATTTAAAAAAAAAAGCCTTTGACACCGTAAACCACAGAATTCTGTTGTCTAAATTATCAAGTTTTAATTTCTCTCCACATACGTTGAGATGGATTGAATCATACTTGTCAGGTCGCACACAGTTTGTTAGTATACAGAATTATAAGTCAGCTCCTCAAAGTATATCCACTGGTATTCCACAAGGATTTATTTTGGGTCCTTTACTTTTTACGTTGTATATCAATGATCTTCCATCTGTCTGTCCTAATTCTAACATTCAAATGTATGCAGATGACACTGTTATATACACAGAAGTAGCGCCATATATATATATATATATATATATATAAATTAGTGACAGAATAAAATTTTGGTAAATTTTGACAGCTGTTTGGGGGATTATTATATGAGGCCAAACTCTTTCTACTTTGCTGTATGCCTATACTGAAAGGCTGAATACGCTAAAGCCAACCTAATCACTGTAGCCTGACGGATGAACAAATAAAATAAAAACTTATGAATAAATAGGATATCTTGTAAGATACTGCATGATCCAAATATAGGATTATTTGATACATTTTTAAAGTTTTCATTACATTTTGGGCATGAAATCCACCCTTCTGATGGGATCAATTTAATCCAGATTTTTTGGATCAGAGTGATCAAAATCCTACAAAAAAGCTCTGAAAAACCCAAACTAAAGGTTTGATCCTGATCAAAACCAAGATTGGATTACGTGATCTAATCCGATTATGTAATCCGTTTTTTTTTTCTTTTGAAAAACCCATTTTCAAGATTTGATCCAATCCGTCATCCAAATTCCTAGTGGATTACTTTTGAAAAACTGGGCCATCGGTGTTGGGCAAGCTACTTGGAAAATGTTGTGAGCTAAGCTAGCAGTTACTCTACATTAAATTTAGCATCACTACACAGAAGATAGCTCCCTGGCAAATGTGGCAAGCTAAGCTACAGCAATTTGGCAAAAGTAGCTTACTACATGCTCTCATGATCATAGCACTTGATATTTAAAATGTGTAATGAAACGTCAGACACAATATTGTCTAATTTGCTCTTTATGTTATATATATTTTTGACAGTATAGTGACTAGAAATGCAGTCATGGCAACCGCGCACTGGGTTTTTTTGCTATGGCATTTTTTTACTTGAGCTGTCTCTGACAAAGAAATGTATTTTTCTGAACTCTTTAAAACAGCTGAAACGGTAAAAACAGACAATATAGTGTAGTATGCAACTAAGCAAACCATAATATTATACACATTATTGACGTATACAATTGGCTCTTCAATCCTCCTTGAACTCATTCTAACAACTTAATATGTTTTAATATTTCAGACTAGATGGAGGTGAAAGAGTTAAAGGTGATGCTGTAATTTGTTTCAGCCTGTGTTGACGCCAATAAAACAATTTAATGTGCCAATTTACAGAAGATCTCAGACATCACCATAATGAATGAGCTGAAAACAGGGAACTTTTGGAGACAAAGAGGTTTTTCAGCTGCTCAGTTTAACACGATGGCCCTGTACTTTTAAAATGCAGATTGGATAAAAACACAGTGATCACAGTTCACACCTGCAGTGAAGCCCCTCCCACAACAATTCACCAATAAATACTGGGAATATTCCCATCGTCCTACAAGAGAAGGACAAACTCCAGGAGTAGCAGCTGAAATCTGTGTGACTGTTAAAGATCGAGTTTATTTAAGAGGAGATTGAAGACATGAGTGATCCAGAACCATCCAGAATAAAACATAAAGATACTGAGGAACAAACAGGTTGGTGTCCATTCTTGATTCTTCATTGTTGATGCTTTGGTAGATGTGAATTAAAAAAGCAGTATATGGATGATGCATGATATACATCCAAAGGATCATAAGCTTGTAGCAGTTGTCAAACATGTTTACAAGTGAATAACAAAACAGATAGTTAAAGATCTGATCTCTGTTGCTTTCTGCAATTAAATAAGGGTTCACTTTAACTGATTCTAACTGTATTTCTGTGTGTTTTAGACCAGGTGAGAGTGAAAGAGCAAAGACAAGAACTGAATGAAGTGGAGGAGGAACATCGTAACTTTACAATTAAAAGAACAAAAGCCAAAAAGATGCACGCCTGCTCTCAGTGTGGAACGAGTTTCACACAGAAAGGACACCTTAACATACACATGAGAATTCACACTGGAGAGAAACCGTATACATGCACTCAGTGTGGAAAGAGTTTTACTCACGCATCAGCTCTCAGTGTTCATCTGCGCATTCACTCTGGAGAAAAGCCATTTAACTGTGATCAGTGTGGTAAAGATTTTAGTTCATCATCACAACTAAATAAACACCTGAAAGTTCATTCAGATGAGAAGCCTTATGTGTGTTCTCTCTGTGGAAAGAGTTTTTCACGTCTGAACGGTTTAAAACAGCACCAGAAAACACACAATGAAGTGAGAGATTATATGTGCTTTGACTGTGGGAAGAGCTTTACTAAATCTGAGAATCTGAAACGGCACCAAAGAATTCATACTGGAGAAAAACCTTTCAAGTGCTCATATTGTGACAAGAGATTCACTCAGCCTGGTCACCTGAAATCACACGAGCGAGTTCACACTGGAGAGAAGCCGTACTACTGTACTCAGTGTGGGAAGAGTTTCACCCACTCAAGTAATCTAGTGAATCATATTAGAAATCATTGTTCTGTGTCACAGTGAGCAAATGTTTTGTTAGATTCACACAAAGTAAATGTGTAGTTAGTAAACTAATAAACTAGTATTGCTGTGAAATGCTAGGCTACATGATTTGTGTTTTATATGTTGGAGAACAAGAATAATATTGAAAATTATTTGGATTGAACACTTACTCAAGCGTTCTGGAAAGAAATGTTAGAAAAACAACAACAATCAGTTGTCGTTCACATTGTCACAGTATGGGTTATGTTTCCTGGTGTCCACTAGAAATCCTCCTTTCACCCTCAGCTTCATTCACATTAGAAACTGCATTTCCCACAATCCTTGTCTGTTCTCATCATTGTTCATTGCACCCAGATGCCCCCCTTTATGATTGTTAGTCTGTGGCTGCGTTCGGAATCGCATACTTGCCTACTATGGGCTATATGCACGCATAAGTTCCGCATTTGACGTAAGGATGCTCGTCCATTTCCGGTTGTGTAGATTAAAGCGGAGGAAAACCGGAGAAAACGGGATTATGGCAGAGTCTTCAATATTTACTGTCCTCCCGTCTTTGAAACGAAACGTACATACGTTTAGATGTAATTTTATATATAGTTATGTTTATTTAATATAATTTTAAAAAGAAGCATAAACACAACGAGGGGTGTCTGTTTTATCTGTTTTTGTGACTAACGTTTCATTAGTATAACCATGGAGTATAAAATTCAATATAAACTCTCGGTATTGCATTGGACTCTATGATCGGCGGAAGTTATCGAGCATCCCTAATGCTTCACCGGAAATAACGCCGTGCATAGAGCCCATATAGTAGGGATGGGACGATAACCGGTTTCACGATAAACCGTGATAAAATGTACTGACGGTTAGTATTATCGTTTAAAATTTATTTATCATTAAAACCGTGTTTGATTATCACGATTTTAATAACTCACTGAATCCTGTCGGCCAGTCTGACGCAGGCGCGCAGCACACAATATTTTTTTTTAATTACTATTCGAGAAGGAATGGTGGAAGGCAGTGACCGTGCTCAGGAGATTTTTCAGCCTTTTAAGAGGACCAAAATTGAGGTGTGGTCATATTTTGGGTTTTACAAAAGTCCTGAGGGAAACTTGATCGAGGATGGTCACCTTGTCTGCCGAACAAAAAGTCACTACAATAGAAACACTTCAAATCTGCCGAGTCGTCTTGTGTGATCATCACCCGAACGCAAGGCAAGTTAACTTTGACCTCAATACCAAAACTATGTCTGGGAAACAGTTGGGCACGAAATGTTGTTTTGAGTTGAAACATTTTGTCACTCACTTGAAATAGACGTCAAGCTTCCGCGAAGAAAAGTTCGTAGCAAGTGGATTTGAGCCAAAGGCGAACGAACAACTTCAAACAAGACTATTATTAAGAGTGATATTTTAAGGGATAGTAAAGTATAGATACATCACGTATTAAACCGATTTTATTTTTACCACATAATTACGGCCCCAGATAGCAAACTGACATTGAATCAACGTGGAAATATGACATCGAAACAACGTTGATCTGACATTGTTTTGCTCATCGAATTAACGTTGAACCAACGTCAGACGCGTCATTCTTTCAAAACTAACGGAAAATCAACTTGAAATCAACGCATTGTTTCAACGTTATGAAAGCAAACCAATTTTCGATTTTCATTTAGCTTTGAAGAATGCCGCGTCTGACGTTGGTTCAACGTTAATTCGATGAGCAAAATCAACGTTGTTTCAATGTCATGAGAGACGTCGTTTCCACGTTGATTCAATGTCGGTTTGCTGTCTTGGGGGGACATATTGAATTGATAATGAGATTAGCTAATGTTTTAAATCTTACCTGTTTATAAATTCATTTTGTAAAACAATCGTCCAGACAAGATATATCACACCAATATTATCAAACTATGTAAAAAATAAATCAACTCTGATTTCATTTTTGCAATACAATCAAAAACCAGAGACGCAGGACGGCAAGTTGTATTTGAATGAAACAAGAGCGCGCGTCCGTTGTGAATGTTATGTGCGCTGTGTAATAATGCGTTGCTATTGACGACGGGCATTATAAAGAAGCAAATGCCATAGAATAGAATCTTGCTTAAAAAACTGCATAGAGAGACTTGTTTTATTTCTTGTTTGTTGATTTTCAATTATAAAATGAAATGAAATGTTTTCCGTGTGAGCATCAGTTCTTTTTGAGCACTTTCATAAATTTTTAACAAAAACCGTGATAATATTGATAATCACGATTATTTTGGACACTATAATCGTGATATGAAATTTTCATACCGTCCCATCCCTACTATATAGTCGGCGAAAAGAGTAGGCGAGCGAAAAAGTACGTTCGAATCCTCAGTATTCATAAAAGAGTAGGCGAGAATTACCAGGGTGACGTACTAATTATCGCGAGATTTGGATGATAGTGCATTCGAATATGCCTACTTTCCTACTATATATTAGGCGAAAACAGTACGTGAAAGAAGCAGTACGTTCGAAACGCAGTATTCCTAAAAGAGTAGGTAGTTCCCGGATGATCTCCTGCTTTCGCCCAGACATTTGAGTGCTTGTCTGATTGTACTCATCGATCCCAGGAGGCCACGTGAGAGGATACGTCAATATCAATATCGTGGAGATCAGAGGGGGTTTTCAAATGTGAGGAAGCACGGTTCCTTGTGTTTAACTAAGGATGGCTGACGCGAAACAGACGTTCCGAAGCTTTGCGAGATCCCGAAGCGCTGACCGTAAGTGGACTTCACAGGGTATTTTGCCATCTTAAAGGTGCCCTCTGGGATAAAAAAATCAAATCATACACCATATTCCATACCAGGTGGGGGCAGTATACCTCCAGAAAAATACCTCCGCGGCCGCGCGCACTCATGTCTTCAAACAACACGGGCGAGCGCTAATATCCCTCGCGCATATTAATCAAATCAATTGACACGATAGTAAAAGGTTGGAAGACCGCAGTTTCACGTCATTTGGAGATTTTCAGAGATTAGAGACTAAATGAACAACATCTCAATACTAAATTATAAAGGCCATCTCATAGACAAGCCGGTGCATTTCGACGATATGGGAAAATTAAAGCCCAGGTTATTAAAGTTATTTCTAGTATGGTATTCGTTTTGTTCATGTTACATTTTTATCATTAGTTTGAATTAATATGACAGACAGCATTACCTGATGTGGACCAAGCTAGCGTCTTTCAGAGCTGCCAACTCTCACAAATTCACCGTGAGACACACAACTTTTCACACACGCCACACATCCATTTTGTCATGCACAGAAAAGGACACGGAGACCGATGTCAGCTCTCAGATTCTGTTCATTTTATTACGCAATTCAAACAATAAATGCAGTTTTGGCGCTTGCAAATGTTAGACGACAGATCCCTAGCGCACGTGAACCGATCATCTCTACGAGCTAATGGTAAAAGAAAACGAACACTGTTGAAAGATACAGTATGTTACAACTTACCAAAATGTATTCCTCATGCATAATATCGACCAATCATTTTTTAAACTCATCCCTGAACTGAAATGTAGTAGTGGGCTGTATTTCCACACGACTGACATCAGGTTCAAGTACACACAAGCCGCGCGAGTTACTCGTCTATTGCAGTGTGGCTGGTGGTAACGTTGCCCGCCTGCATACCGCCTCCCATGGCCGAAACTGGTATTACGACACCTGCCGGGCCGGGGCTAGTAATTTAGCATGCTAATTTAGGTTTATATCTTGGCAGCACTATAACTTGTCACTTTTTTAATGACATCATTGCACTTATTTCTTCTCATTCTTTTGATGTGTGTAGCTCATTTTTTGGATATTTTTACCTCAATTATCCCATATGGCACCTTTAAGTGAAATTCCAATTCGAAGGGAACGAACATGTTCAGTTCGAAGGGCACTGCAAACGTCATAAGAAATAAGGGAACATACATCACTTCACAGGAAGTCAGTGAAGTCCACTTCAACTGATATACCGTGTTCAAGGAGTAGGGAGCAGTGAACACTTGTGTAGGGACCCTGTCGAATGGAACGCACCTACTGATCCGAAGCGTCATTCAAAACACCCACATCACGTGACTACAGCTAAATGAAGCTAAGTGTTTCATCAGGTGTGCTGCCTCCCAATTCGCATACTATCCGTCCTAAATAGTATTCGAAAATAGAATTAGTACGTCCCAAATCGTAGTATGTTGAAATGAGTGTTTCAAAGATACCAGGATGGTCTACTTTTTCCGGTCAGAATCCGAAGGGGGGGAACACCGAATGCGCCACATTAAACTTTCATCTTCTGACGTTTTACCACCGTGTCGATTTATTTTGATTAATACGTGCGAGGGGGAGAGAGCAAGTTGCAAGAGCTTTGTATGGAAGGCAGTAACGTTAGCCAATAGTTTAAGGTTAGACTAGGCTAGCTATCGATAACGTTACACTGACATAACTTAAGTTGCTCTGAATTCGCAGCTACTATCAATTCCATAACTTTTTGATCAAGTTAAAATTTCCAGGTCAACCAAATAATCCCACTACCTTTTAATATCATCCTATAACTAATCCAATGCCGATTTGTTGCATTTCCCACTTACCACTTGTAAAACATTGCCAGTTCAACGTGCGATTTGCTTGAGGCTTGAACATACACAGCAAAGATTCTAGAGCTCTACGCGCGTAGATTTGATATACACAGACACCATATTAGGAAAAACGGGCGGGCTGATGCTGACCGATTTATTACACATCAAGAAGAATACATTTGAGTCGTTATAAGCTCTGGTAATTATGGAGCATATTAGGAATAAATAATCAGGGAAAAAAATGTAAAGAAATTTAAAAAAAAAATTATCAGGGAGGAAAAATATGGAAAAAAAGTGAGCGTCATGCCCACTTTGAATGGGCATGATGCCACTGCATGCACCTGTGTTTTATTATCTTGTTTAGCGCACCTGTCTTAAGCCTGAGTTTTCCCTTTGTTCGGGGCTCAGTGTAGTGACTGCTTCGAGCAGTTTTCTAGTATTATAGTTTCCTTAGTATTTCCTAGTTTCACGGTTCCTGGACTCCCTGCCTGTATCTGGTCTTCCCGTTTGCCTAATCCCTGCATTGTTTGATTGCTGATCTGGACTGCTTACCTGGTTTTGACCCCTGCCTGTTTCCTTGTACCTGTCTCTGGATTCTCCTCTTAATAAAGCCTGCGTTTGGATGGATCACCTCTGTCCCTGTTCCATGTGCAGTTTCATGACAACAGAATCCCTGGTTCACGTTGCGGCGTGGCTAGAACAATGCTGCTTACAGTTAAACATCTCTAAAACAGTGTGTATGATTTTCACCAAAACTAAGAATTTAAGTATAGTGCCAGATGTATTTGTATCAGGGGAAAGATTACAAGTTGTATCTGAATTTAAGCACCTTGGTATTCTGATTGATTCCAAATTTTCATTTAAGGCACAGGTTAAAAAGGTCTGTAACAAGGTCAGATTTAGTTTATTAAATTTTAGATTTATTCGTGATTATATGTCGTCTGAAGCCGCTTTGATGTATACGCATTCCATGATAATTTTTCATATTACCTACTGTTTAACTACTTGGTCGCATGCTAGTATTACTACTCTGAAACCACTAGAGTGTTTGTATAAACAGTCACTTAAAACTCTTGACAAGAAATCTGTTCGGTTTCATCACTGCTCAATATTAAAAAAATACAACTTGCTAAGCTGGGATAACTTAATTAAATATGTACATATCTGTTTGCTGTTTAAGACTATACATAGCCTGTCTTCACCATTAAAACAGTTTGTGAACATTAGAACTGCTCACCGATCTACAAGGGGAGGGGAAAGAGGGGACTGTATTATCCCTCTCAAAAGAAGTACCTTTAGCCAGTCTGTGTTTTCGGTCAGAGCTCCAAGGGAATGGAACTCCGTCCCATCAACAATTAGACAATTGCATGCTTTTGGTTCTTTTCAGTCTCATCTTAAATGGTTACTGACAAATCAGCACTGTCAACATTAGTATTGTATTCTTGATAATAGACTTATTTGTATCAATTGCAATTGCTCTTGCTCTTTCTCTCTCTCATGTTTACTTTGTTTTAGATAATATATGTTTATTTTATTTTATCTTGTTTTTTTGTGATGTGCATATGTGTAATGCTCTGTCTCTGTTTTTAGGGTGACTGTGTAACATTCTGTCAAGGGTCTACAGATGAAAAATCGCCTCTTGGGCTAATTCTGGCACAATTACACTTGTTTATTAATGTGACCTTAAATTGACCCTGTAAATAAAGAAAGAAATAAAATAAATTAATTAATTAATAAAATTAATGATAACTAAGCAAATTTTTAAGTTCTACAAAACTAATTTCTCACTAGAACTGAACTGAAATGTTCAAAAACTAAAAAACTTTTAGATGCCATTTTATTTTTTGCTACTGTCATGGAATTGAACGCACAGGATTGTGGGATATCAAATCAAAGGCAGTGAAGGATACATCTATGCTGCCTTCAGAAATTCTGAAGATGAAGGTATCTCAGTTGACAGGATGTGATACAATTTGATGCCTTCCTTTTTACTTTTACCTCAGCTTTCGCCCTATGTCAACTGGCTCATAATCATGAGGAAAACAATTGTCACCTTACTTTCTGTCATAATGTTCCCAGTCAACACTCGTTACAGGACCAGACTCAGGTTTATGCTATAGTTCAGGTATTTCTCAAGTCCCCTTAACCACTTTTCTCTGTTATCCCACTTTTATTTTCCCCTTCGTTTGCTTCCACATTTGGTCTAGCCTTCCTCCATCTAACACAGCGTTGGCAGAGCACTATCACCATGCCGGCTACCCAAGCCAGTACAGTGCCTACTCCAAAGATGACAAAACCAATGGCCACAAAGAACAGGTAGTCCTGGTGACTCAGTCCTGGATGGCAATGTCTTCTCAGCCAAAGGCCCAACTCCGAGAGATGCTGCCCCCGTAAGAATGAAGGACCTTCACACACTGTCTGTCCCTCTTCTAGTCACATAAAACATAAGAAAAAAAGATAAACATAAACATTTGCATTGCTGGTATATATGTAGCAACTTAATAAACATAACAGTCTAACATGATAACCACAGACACAAAATTGCTCAAAAAAGAGTTTGTCGCAAGTAAAACATTATCAGAAGTATCATAAAGTCATCAGTCACCATTCAGTGATCATGCATCACTGCAGCTGCCGTTAAACGCTTTGGTTCCTATAGAAACAGTCAGATGCGTGTTTCCACTGCGCATTTACGTTGTAAATGTAAATGGCTATGCACAAAACAAGCATTTTCTCCATGTTTAAAACATCAAGATACATTTTCTAAAATGTGCAGTGTATATCTAGAGCACACACATAGAATACTGTCATGGTTCTGTCACTTCAGTCTGTTCTTAGTTTTGTGGCCCTGACACTATGGTCTTGTGTGAGTGTGTGGCTTTGAGTGCACTCTTTTGTCTGCATGCATTGTTTCATCTGCGGAGCATGGTGCTCAGATCGCGGCACTCCTGTATATTTTACCGTGCACTCTTGTCTTGTGTGGTCTTTAGAGCGCCTGGTATGTTTTCATTTGCCAGGCGTTCTTGTGTCATGTTTGTCTTCTGTGTAGTGAACTTTTTCTTCCGAAGTGGAAAAAAATCAGAAAAACAGACCAGGAGACGTTGAGGTATCTTTAAAGGCAGAAGTTCTTTATTGCGTCGCTGTAGTCATCAAAAAAATCGTCTTACTAAACTAAAATACAGAACTGTTCTTATACATTTCAAGCGGGGAGGAATTACATAAGCCCCTTTCACAAAGAGATTCCGGAAAATACACGGATAATGTGACCCAGCATTTGTCCCGGGATTGTTTGATTTTGGTTCATTCACACTGCCAGTGATTTGCTGGGATCTGTGAGTGCGTTCACACACAACCCGTAAAGATCCCGGAAAGACACATGACGTCAGGATGAGACGCGTCGAAAACATGTACACGCGCATACCGTTCCACAAAGCTGGTGAACGATCTCAGCTTGAGCGCGGATAGTGAGGAGCTCCTGGTCTCTGCTTCGTTCCAGTTTGCAGACATTTGTTCGTCCTTTCTTAGTTGATGACGAACACAAACTTTCTTCTAAGAGCAACAGAGTCACGCGAAAATTCCCCAGCCCTGATCTCATCAGCATAGCAGTTATTTGAGCCTTGAGATGCTAATCCAATCAGCCTGACTAGATTGCTCAAACCTTTACATTATCATTGAGGCAAAGGCTGGGAGTCTTAGTAATGAAAGGAACCGGGAGGTTTGTGAAATATAAAATTCCCCTTCTTATGGAAATCTGATTTTTGGTTTATTTGGCCCACCTGTTCTTCCTCATTACCCTCCTAATTTGTTCTCCTATTTATTTATTCAAGGCTATTTATATAGCCTTGCGAGTTCCACTGTCTTTTGAGTTCATTGTCGGTTTACACCTTATTGCCATTTGTGTTTAATAAACCTCGTTGAAATTATCTTATCTAGTCATCATTCTTCAGTCTTCGTTAGTCATTGTGACCGAACAACTAACCTAAAATGGAATGCTGTATTGCTTTTACCTGCCTCTACGCCGAAACACTGAAGTCATTGTTCTGGATTGGGGCAAACTATCACCATCCTTCTGACCTCACAGACACCTCTGGACTAGACTGGAGGGAAGCTGTCATCAGGTGTCTGAAGAGCTTACAGTATATCCCCAATCCAGGATACAGCCAGAGCCCAAGCCACCTACACCCTCGACCGTGGAGAATTTGTGAGTGCACCTCGCAGACAAAGAGCGATCGCCCGCCGTGATGAGTGAGCCATATCTCGAGGAGAAGAGGACAGTGCCAACCATCACCCCGGAAAAGAGCGCCAGAGTGAGTCTGACCAGGGGTGTGAGCCAGTGACATCAGCAGCTGAGGGAATATAGGTGGAAAGTGACATTGAGGACTGGCTGATTATGCCTGCCCAATATTATCTGTTGGTCCGGAATCATCTCTGTTTCAAGACAGCACTGAGACTGTTACTTTGACTTGTTAGGAATAGGAGTTACCATTATTGATCACATCATTACCTCTATCACCCTCACTCTTTCAGTTTTCCACCGGCCTGAAAACAGCCGGCCAATCAACGAACAGAGGGCGGGCTGAGAGCCGTGACGTAGACGCTAAGCGCCGAGATTCACATTGTAGGTTAGAGAAATCGAAAACCGAAACGACTGCAGAAATGGAAAACAAGACACGGGATGTAATTCGCTCTGTTATGGAGAACATTCCGGGGTTTTTCAAACTGAAGCAAAAGTCGTTTACAGCCATGTTCACTCCTGTATTTCGCTCACATCATGTGTTTACAGCCAGAACCGGCGCGTGCACTTCTGCCGCTCTAGGCGAAAAACTATTTTGCTGCCCCTCTATTTGCAACGTATAGCAGCAAAAACCAGCATGCTTGGCCATTATGTAGCTTGCACAACGCGCATAAACTTTGATTCTTTCATCAACACAGATGCAGCCGTTTTTATTTTTGCAAATCATTATAACAAGGAAAAATATTAACACTTCAAGCTTAGACATTTAGTCTACCCAATTTTTTCAGGCTAATTGTAGTAATGACGGATCAGACCTGTTTGGCCATAACTATATGCATAACTATAAGGACATAACTTACCCCCATTCAACGTCAGTTCTGTCTTTTACGGCCATGACAATAATGTCTCCTTGGCTGTGAATGCTCTTGGCGCGCTCTTAATATCGTATTATTATTATCATAATAATAACAACAATCCACCATATTTCGTTTCGACATCCTGCTGCATAAGTCTCAGATATGTGATTCATGAACGATCTGTTCATTGCGTATGTCTCGTGTCAAATGAACGTAAGACTCGGAAGGTAATGTGATTATTTATATTCCCTGTAAATCATTTTTTACTGCATTATGATTTCTTAATTCAGAACATGATCAACATTGCGTAGGTGGATGTGATCGGGGAATTTGGCTGTTAAAATTATAACATTAAGCCACTTAAATAAACGAAATGACTCGAATGACTCAGAGAATCAGTAAAATGAACTTCCTCATGACTCGCGAGAGCAGGGGCTCGGTCTCGCCCTCGCGGCGCTGCGGGGTGGCGGAAGCTAAATCAGTCATGACTCGTGAGCAGGGGTTCGTCCTCGCGGCGCTGCGGGGCGGCCGCAACTCAGTAAATCATATATATAACCTAGTTTGTGAATTGTTCATTCCCGGTTGGCACACATTTTGCAGCCTTTACAAAAGGGCCGTTCCTGTTTACAGTGCAAGTTCGATCATAGATTTGAGTTTGATGCATAATGTCTCGATGTGGCCGTGTCGGCTCATAACATACGTCATAAATAATCTGATTGGCTTAGGGGTAACCAATGATTTTAAACTTCAGAGAAGCGCCCCCTTGCGAGAGAGAAAACACTTCTCTATTATGCTATTTCAGACTCTGTCTACGAAGCAAAGTGAAGTAGCAGAGTCTGGTATTACCAGGCTAACGGAGAATGGTGTCGAATACACAAACCTGCCTGTCAGTCATAGTGAGTGTGAACGTGCATGACGAGCTTTACAGATTTACTTTACAGGATGTAACTCTGAGTCCGTTGGTTTTTAAATAAAGTCGAGTCCGAGTCAAGACCGAGTCTTTGAAGGGTCGAGTCTGAGTCGAGACTGAGTCCGTTACCTCAAGGGCATCGAAGATGTGGGTGTATTTGTTTCCACAGTAGTTTCAATTTTGATATTTTTAGGTCAAACCGTTCTTGACTGTCAGTCATATAATGGAGGTGTAGCGTCGAAAGGCGAATTTGATGATGGCGGACTCGTTGCTCATCTTGCCACCGCTCACACCAGGCAGCAACTGAAGACACTGATGGCCCTGACGGCATTATCTTTGCATTGCACCATGGGATGTCATTTTCAAATAATGGCCGTCAACATTGCATTTTATTGTTGTTGTTATGTGTTGTGTCTTTTTTCATATGAACATAAAAAAAATGCGCAGGAAAAAAATCTCGAGGACTTGGTCTGAAAATTACGAGTCCTTCTCCTCCCACTGTGGTTCGAGTCAAGTCCGAGACGAGTCCGAGAAAGCAGAAATCGGTCTCGAGACCGGTCTCGAGTACTACATCACTATTATTAAGTACGTAAGATTTTTCAACAATAAAGAGTTCAGCATAGGATACACCTGTGCATCCTCCAGAATCTTCCTCACTCCTCTTACTTTTGGTGCAATTATAGAATTAAAATGTTCTTCAGGATGGCTAACTTTGATCGGTTTCTGGGTCACAGGCTATAGGACAGAGGAGCGAGGAAACGAGGAAGCATCTATTTGAGTATTGAGAAGCACCCTTCACCATGGCAGCATTCAATGTTCCCTTCTCCCCAAATTGTTATATTTGAAAGCACTAAACTGAGTGATAAATGTCTGCTGCGTTGTTTAATGGTTGGGCACAGGTTTGATGGTATGGGTTTAAGGTTAGGATGAGTCAATAGTGTAATTACTTGCAGTCAGTTCCATGCACTATACATGAGATTTAATGTCTTTCTTTAAGGTTAATTCACGAGTAGCTCTGGAAATGAGCGTTGCTGATATAGGTGTAAATTAAAACAGTGCCTTTTGGCATCCTTTCATACATGGATAATATGTCACCGTACACAGTGACACACTGAATAATTCAAACCTATGGTTGGCCTCTGCTCTGGCTGAGTCATTTACTCTTTGTACTTATGCTTTTGTAAGTTGACACGTCTTCTTCTGCTCCAATTCTCTCTTCATATTATCTTCAGAATACCTTCACTGTAAAATAATAGTGATTTCTCTACTTAACAAACGCCACTAATAAATGAGGAATACGAGGAAAGAAATACACAAGGAATGCAATATACCTCCTTACAGTTATCTCACCATTTTCCACTGTCTCCATCCTTGCAATTACTTTCTCCCTAGTCACGGTGACTGAATACCCACAACCCATCGTGCAGTACTTGTATGGTCTGTCTCTTCCTTTGTCTTTCTCTCATCCAATACCCTTTGTACTTGCGCCATATTTTCTTATCCTCACTCTTTGAATATGTCTTCAAAGCTTTTCACTTTCTTTGAAATAAATATTCAAATACAAGACCTTGACTCTTGAGCCAGTGTGCATTGACAGCTATAATAGATGTATAATAATGCTAACTATGCCTGGTAGGCGCAACCCACGCTTTGAGAACAGCTAAGTTTATGTTACAATGGCCCCTAAGATTAAGAATAAGCCCCTACAAAGCCTGTAAAAGGTAAAAAATAGGCCAGCATATATGGGGCTAGAGAAGCTTCTAGCAGAGGGAGAGACTTTGTTTGCGTTTGATCTTGCATTTCTATGTGAATAGTTGCATGTTCATTTGTAGAGAAAAATAATTAGCAGCACTTGAGGGAATACATCTGTGCCAATTAAAAGCAGGAGATGTCTCTGTATTATTCCTCACACTATGTGTGTTTGTGTATGCCTGAGTGTTCAGTGTGGCTTTGCACACTAGAGGCCCTTAGCCTAAACATAACTGGTTATAACTGGACCAAAAAGATGAACTTAAGATGAGCTTAAACAATGATCTGCAGATAAAGTATAGAATATACACTGCATATATAGATAGCCTATGTATGTCTAAATATATATGTCTATCTCTATGTCTCTATCTAGCCATCCATCCATTCTTGAGTATCAATCAGATGGCCCTTACAAATCCATTGCCAGCTGTTAGTCTATTTTCCCCTCTTTATCAAGCCCTGAAGACAGAATAGGACTGCATGGGTGATGCATTGTTAGCAGTGGGCTACTGTGCCCTAAATCTAAAATAGTGTCCAATGACAAGCAATACTTACAAGCAAGAATTACAAACATTAACAAATAGCAGATTAGTACATCATAGTTTAGAAATGTCATGAAACTTTTTTTGTTCTGGTGGTCAACTGATCTGGCACATGTCAGTAACCACTGTTTAGGGATAACACATTATAACTAACGCAAGTTACGTAATCAGACTACTTTTTCAAGTAACTAGTAAAGTAATGATTTACATTTAAATGTACAACAAATGTGTGATCATGATGGTTACAAGCAAGCCAAGCCCAGGTCAGAAAAAGTAACGCAAAAGTAACGTAATGCTTTACTTTCATTAAAGTTATCAACTTTACGTGAGTTGTGTCTCGGCACGGCACAGCGCGGATGAATCCAATGTTTTGAGGAGAATATGTGGCTGTCAGTCACCGCGCTGGTGTGGAAATTGGCATTCACAATCACAGATTTTTCTTTTTGGAAGTATGACCAACATAAGAATTTTCACCGGAAAATGTAATGACAAACAAGTAACATCCACTTTTGTTCTGACCAATTAAGGGGGATAAAAAGCATTTAAATGATTAAATCTAAAGATCGCTTTCATATCACGTCAAACCATCCAAATTATACTTTGTTCTCAAATTGTTAATGTTAACAACATTGCGTGACTACATTTAATGCCCTTCCGATATTTATCCTAGTTTTCGCATGGGTCTGGTTGAAGTCTGTTTTTTTCTGTAGCCAGTCCGAAGTCCGAAATCTTTTGCATTTTCATAATTGAACTATGGGGCTGACATGACCACTGCTTTCCTGGGTGACAGTATTATAAATCTGTGTGTGACAATCACTCACACACACACATAATGCACATAGTCAGTGAGTTATAGATGCTAAAAGAAAACCAAGTTCAAGCACAGCCCATCTCCATGAATAAATCTGATATAAATCTGTAATGTCGTTAAAGTGATCTATTCTACTGCAACACTAATAAATAAAGGTTAACACTTTATAATAAGTTTCATTAGTTAACATCGGTTAACTACATTAGTTAGCTGTACATACAGAATTTATTCATCTTTTTTAACATTAATTTCAACATTTACTCACGGTGAACTAACATCTACAAACAACAGCTGTATTGTTATTAACTAACATTAACAAAGATGAACAAATACAGTAACAAATGTATTGTTCATGGTTAGTTCATGTTAGTAAATACATTAACTAATGTTAACTAATGAACCTTATTTAAAGTGTTACCAAATAAAGTTATTTTTTAAGTTATTTTGAAATAATTACCCAATGTGCTTAAAACGACGACAAACCATAACCTAAGACCCAAACTGTAAGTTAAGTCTATAGCCTACCTTGAAATTTAACGGTGTCTGTGTGCATCCATAAGCAGAGCTCTTCCGTGTCGCAGGCACACAGCCACGGGTTCCCGCTCAGCCCGAGAGACCTGAGCCCGCCGAGTGCCATGAGGGAGCTCACATTAAGTCTGCTCAGGTTGTTCCTGCTGATGTCCAGCACCTGAATAGCACTGGTGTGCGGAAAAGCCTGAGGGTGAAATTCTGACAGCCTGGGGTTATCCGTCAGTCTCAACATCACCAGGCTCTCCAGCGCTCTGAAGGTCTGCTCCTCAATCTTACCCAAGGAATTAAAAGACAGGTCCAGATATGCCAACTTCCTCAGGTTTGCAAATGTGGATTCAGATATGTGTGTGAGAGAGTTGTTGCTGCAGTCCAGATACATGAGGTCTGACAGGAAATTGAGCTCAAGTGCAGGTAAATCAGAGATTCGGTTGTTGGACAGGATGAGCTGGCGGGTGGTCAGCGGGAGTCCTGTTGGGAATCTGCAGAGATCTTGTTCAACGCACTGGACAACATGCTGGTCATCACACACACAGCGCTCTGGGCAGCCAGAAGGGATCGAGGACACCACATGCACTAAAAGCACAAGCAATATCTGGGTTCCGATACACATGCTGTGGCTGAGAGCTTCATGAAGCCTTCACAAGTTATGGATACGCCAAAAAACCTCCACAGAAAAACAAGACCCACTAATGTCTCCCTAGTGTATGTGAGTGAGTGAGAAAGAGAGTGAGTGAGAAAGAGAGTGAGTGAGAAAGAGAGTGAGAGCTCTGTGGCTGCGCTTCTTCCTTTCATCGCTCTAGGACAGTTGTATTACTGTGTCTGTATGTAATTATGTGAAGAAGAAAGGGAATTAAAAACGTGTCAAGAGTTCTTGGAAGGACTAATTTCAGGAGTTCTTGTCACGTTTTTGGGTTTATTTAGTCATGTTTAGAGGTTGTTTTTGTCCTGCTTTTCTGTTCAGTGTATGTTTATGTTTGAGTTTCTTTGTTAATCTTCTAGTCGGTTAATCCGTTCTCCTCTGTTACTAATTAATTAGATTCCTTTATTTAGGTGTGTCATTAATTAGTCTCATTAGTTCCTCTTGTTTTCTTGTGGATTTGAGCCCCGTGTTTTGTCCTGTTCAGTTGTCTCTCGTTGTTAATGTTAAGCTGCTTTTTTCTTAGTCTCCCGAGCATTTCTGTAAGTTTAAGTTTATTGTTAATAAAGTCTGCTGCACTGAAATCTTTTTTCCTTGTTGCTGCAACCAGAAACCTTACAGTTCTAGGAAAGTGATACATTTATGTTGCTACTATAACATTTTCTGCAAATGTTTTGATTTAATAACTCCAAATAAAATATGAAGCTGTACATTGAACCATCAAGTAAAAAGCTAACATGTTGGAAAAATTAGTTTTCCTGAATAGCAGGACTAGCAGGACATTCAGTAACAACATCAACTGTTGTAGCAGGACTGGCAGGATACTCAGGACAAGACAGACTGGAGTCGACACAGGACTGTGTTCACGGGTTGGGGTGGGTTCTTGACTAAACACTGGAGCGAATTCATAGACTGGAGTGGTTTGTAGACCAGATTATTGACTAAACACTGGAGCGAATTCATAGACTGGAGTGGTTTCTGGAGCGAATTTATGGACTGGAGTGGGCTCTGGAGTTGACTCATGGGCTGAAGCGGGCTATGAAGTTGACTCATGGACTGGAGAGGGCTCTGGAGTTGACTCATGGACTGAAGCAGGCTCTGAAGCCGGGTTCTGGAGTTGACTCATGTACTTGAGCAGGCTCTGGAGTGGTTTCATGGACCGGAGTGGGTCTGGAGTTGACTCGTGGACTGAAGCGGGCTCTGGAGTTGACTCATGGACTGGAATTGGCTCTGGAGGGGATTCATGGACTAGAGTAGGCTCTGGAGTTGACTCGTGGACTGAAGTGGGCTCTGGAGTTGACTCATAGACTGGAGCAGACTCTGGAGCAGATTCATGGACTGCAGTGGGCTCTGAAGTTGACCCATGGACTGAAGCGGGCTCTGGAGCGGATTCATGAACGAATAGGCTTTGGAGTGGACTCACTGGCTGGAGAGAGTTCTGGAGCGGATTCTTCGACTAGAGTGAGCTCTGGAGTTGACTCATGGACTGGAGCAGATTATTCGACTGGAGTTGGCTCTGGAGTTGACTCATGGACTGGAGCAGATTATTCGACTGGAGTTGGCTCTGGAGTTGACTCATGGACTGGAGCGGGCTTTGGTGTTGATTCATCGACTGGAGAGGGCTCTGGAGTTGACTTGTGGACTGGAGGGGGCTCGGGAGTTGACTCATGGACTGGAGAGGGCTCTGGAGTTGACTTGTGGACTGGAGGGGGCTCGGGAGTTGACTCATGGACTGGAGCGGGCTCTGGAGTAGATTCTTTGACTGAAGGGGCTCTGGAGTTGACTCGTACTGGAGAGAGCTTTGGTGTTGACTCATGGACTGGAGCGGGGTCTGGGGAGGATTCTTCGACTGAAGGGGCTCTGGAGTTGACTCGAACTGGAGAGAGCTTTGGTGTTGACTCATAGACTGGAGCGGGGTCTGGAGTAGATTCTTTGACTGAAGGGGCTCTGGAGTTGACTGATGGACTGGAGAGGGCTTTGGAGCGGGTTGCCCTTCAGCTCCCGCCATGCATCATGAGTTTGAGGGGGGCAACACGGAAGAGAATGTCTATTTTCTTGCTGCCTCAGAGAGTGAGGGATGGTCGAACCCGGCCCAGACCCTGCCCCTTCCTTACAAGAATCGAGTAGCGCTCAGGCAGGGATTCTCAGCAGTGCTTGCGCTCTTCAAGCCGCCACGGGCTGCCTTCCCCCGGGGACCCAGACCCAAGATTGTGCTGATGCCTGAGCCCTCAAAGTCTTCCTGACCTTCCAGAGAAGACAAAGATGGTTGAGTCCCACTGAGTCCCACAAAAACATAGATTTTTTCATGCAGTGATCAGTTTTGAGATTTTGGGCTAGTTTACTCCTTCAATATTTGTCCTTGAATTCTTGCTGGTGGTCCGTCTGTTTACTGAAGTCAGTCATGACCGGTATTGTTGTAAAGCTTGAGTCTCCTGCACAATGCCATGTAACCCAAATATGGGCATTCCCTTTCAATCAGTAGCCAAACATGATTGTCCAAAGGGTGATTTAAAGCTAATGATGAAATTTCATTGGCTACTGCTGGTTTCTGCTAACGTGATTCGCTCAGACGCATCACGTGGTGTACTCTGCCAATGTTAATTCATTGAGTTACTGCAGTTGTAGTCCTTAAATGTCTGCCATATTATTAAATAATCTGTTTTCATGAGCTTGAAATATTGTATATTATTAAGGGCCTGAGCATTTGGTCTGTTTTTGTGCATTTTTTCCAATAGAAATGTATTAAATTCCCTACTTAAATCTTTAAATGCATTTTTCTCAAAATAATTTTTTGTCGTTCTCCAGAACAAACATCTCAGCCTATGTAGCACCAATGTACACCAAACTTTCCAGTTCTACACTAAGCAGGATTCTGAAGATATTTTCAGAGGGATTTGTTAAAGGGATAGTTCATTTTGAAATAAATTTTTGGTATCTTTTAGCTTACCTCAAGGGCATCTTTGTTTCCACATTATTTTCAATTTTGATATTTTTCGGTCAAACCGTTCTTGTCTATCAGTCATAATGCAGGTATAGGGGGTCCACCTCGAAGAGCATGCACAGAGAAGTCCGAATTAAACATGATTTAATGACTCGTAAATGTAAGTACACATTGATGGCCTAAGACACAAAACAAGTGGTTTGTGAGAGAAAACGAACAGTATTTATATCGTTTTTACCTCGTTTAACCACAGCCATGTCCAACTGATCTGAAGACACAGACGCTTCGGTCTGCGCATGCAGAACAAGGAATTAACAAATTAAACACAAATTTTTTTTTTACTATAAGTACATATATGTAACAAGGACACTGTAAAATAAAGTGTTCCCAAAAAACGATATGCTTTCACTCTCCTTGAATCCCTCCTTATTCTAGCTTATGCTACTCTAAGCAATGTCTTAACCTGTATTTTGAACACTTCTTGTTTGTCTCGTCAAGATGAATCGCTTGCTGCATTCCTCGTAAGTCACTTTGGATAAAAGCATCTCCAAAATAAATAAATGTAAATACAGTTGTACAACCATACAGGACAAATGTCACATTCTAATAATAAAGGTAATACTTCAGAATGGTCCGTCATTAATTAATAAATACAGGAACAAATGAGTATCACACTCTAGCAACTAAAAACAAATTCTGATCAATGAATTAGTAAGTAATAATGCTCAGTTGAAAAAGTGTTTAATATTGTGTATCCCAAAATTATTTAAAAAAATACACTCTTGAAAGCGACTGTAAAAACAGTAATTGGTTAAAGTAAGTTTCATTACTAAATATAGAAAATGTATTGGATCTAAGCCTACCTTTACAGTAAAATACTGTTGAATAAAATACTATTAAATTTACAGCTTTTGGTGAAAGTAAAAAAGTAATTGAATAATTTACAGTGAAAAAACACATTACATTCCCAGAATTCCCTGTGTGACACTTCACTTGTATTTTCATTGAAATAACCATGTTTCTCAGTTTTTGTAATGTACATTAGGGTTTTATGTTATAGCTGATGTTAAATAAATGTTTATTGAATTATTTTTTCTGTCATGTGTCGAGGGTGCTTATGTGTGAACACTGTGCACCTTCAATATTTCCTGCTGTGATTGACATGATCAAAAATCTTTAGAATTGGCTGCAGGGTGGAGTTTGCACTGAACTGGTTTGGGGGGAAAACACGCATGCGTATTGTGTCTTTCTGTCAATAGGAGGAAGCCACAACCTGTTTTGGAGATCTCCAGGCTACTGCTAAACGTTGTCGCCTGTAAACACACCCCTGAATAGTGAGTAAAGCCACCTCCAACAACACTCCCAAAATGTCCTCCGGCCACAGAAGGTGGAGCTTCTTTCGCTGCCGCAACCTCACCTGTTGTTTTCAGCAGAGGTTCTTCATCCTCCTTAGTGTCGCTCACATCATGATGACTTCCCATTGTGCTGGAATTAAATAACACTAAAAAAACCCACCTGATTCAGCTCATCTGCTTCTTAGTGTGTTGAATAGACATCTAGACATTCTGGGAGGTGATGAGGATTGAGAAACAATTTATTAATATTAATAGTATGTCATAAACCATCTGATAGACTATAGCAAGACAACATAGGCTATTTTTAAAGGTATTTTTGAGAAAATTCAACATGTTCTTGGGACACTTCCCGAGTTATTTTTTTTAAACCACTCAATTTTCAACTGCGTGTGAAATCACACTGTACTTTCTTGAGTAGATTCTTTGATAATTTAATAATTGTAATAATATTAAATAACTTATTAACTTTAATAATTACTCCCCGGCCGCTAAAAAGTATGTTCTGTATAGTTTATGAATGTGTGGAGTGTGAATTTAATCTACATTCGCCATGTTGTCCTTATCATGTGACCTATCGGCATCAGTCGCGTCGCTTCACTGCTGTTCAGTGTTCATAAATCCTCTCCTGTGGCCTTATGGGATAGTAAAGTTTTCATCATATGCACACTTCAGAATCTCACTGGAAGAAGTTGGTCATCCGGTACTTTTTTGCTTACTCTTTTATGATCACTCTGAATTTGGACATAGCCTACTTCTTTTCCCTCCTACTTTACGGTAATAAGAATGAGATTTTGGATTCAGCCTTTGATTTAAAACCTAAAACCTGTGACAAGATTTGGAACATCAAATTGTGTGTTCTTCAGTCATTGCTCAACACTCAATTTTTTGTCCAAAGTTATATTTCTAATACGATAGCTATACATTTTAATCAAGTAAAAGTCATCTTTAGGCTATTTTGATAGCACATTTAATACAGATTGTTTCAAAGCAGCTTTACAGTGATAGCAGGAAAATTATGATCAATAATGCAAACAGAGTTCAATTGACTTTATGCACAGCTGCACTACTTCCTGAACTTGATGCTGCGTTCACGTGCTATGGAAAAGATGATATTTTCCACTTGTGAACTGGTATTTACCAGTGTGTTGCGTTCAAGTGCTTTTGTTGTCGTAATGTCGTGAAAAGATGGAGATCCAGACCTGTTATTTGACTAAAACAATTTTAGATTGCTGAATTCATCTGCTACAGCAAGAATATGATTTATCAAAACTCAAACGGTAAATAATATGCTGTATATTTGAGATCATAGAGATTTTTTTAAGGACAAGGGAGTTAATAGAGCTAATATTTCTGTTTTAGCTCTATCCTTATGTGAAGCATAGCAACTTGCCTAATCTTTCCTATCAGCTCATTAGCTATTCTATTAACTGCTAACGTTGTTAGCTAGCATCTGATCTGGGTAGATAACAGTAACACCAAACCATAACGCTATTTTTTAAAACTGACACTAACAAATTATATTACAATTGTTAATGACACACATTGTATAGGCTACAAAAGCTATCTGCCAACAGTAGCAAAAAACGTTTAGTTGTGTACAATGCTTCCCATTCACGACTCTTGTGATGCGCTCCGCCATTTTGAAAAGGTCAAAGGTTATCTCATCTCGGCAACTCGTCCATCAAAATATTCTACGAGTTGCCCAGTGGAAAATACCACATGAGGGGGTGTTCGTGTGCATTTTCCACGTCGGTTTTTGGTATTTACCATAACTACCATAGCAAGTGACGCACCATAAGGCAGCTCCTTGTTTCCTGTCTGCTATTAGGCTATTGGCCAAATTTGATTAATTCAGGTGTTTCTGATTATTATGGGCTATAGACGCTTTCAGCAGTGACAACATAAACAAACGGTACTGCGCATGTGCATTAATCTGGCCCAAACTTAACTTCCGGCAGACTTGCGGAGACAATCCATAAAAAGTAAATAACCTAGTAGCTGGTATCTTGCCAGTCAAAGAACATAAATGTTACCTGGCCAAACTGAAATGTGACACTACCAGACCCGTTGAACAAAAATTGGAGACAAGATGTTTTTCTACCGACGTGTCTGATTTACCGCAGTGTTAAAAAAACTGTGGCGAGCGCGACGGCGGAGTTTGATAAGGTTAACATAGCTAGGCTACTTACATGCTTGCTAACCTTTTTGGGTCTCCACATTGACAGCATGTTGGATGGATCTGTGCAGCGCTGTTTATGATACTACCATTCAATACACAGACTGGTCCGCTGTCAAGTGTTTGCGAGAGAGAGAGAGAGAGAGAAAGAGCATGCGAATATGCGCTGCACGCAACTCTGCAGTCAATTACAACTTTTCCCATCTTAAATTGTTAAAAACACGGAAATCAATATGTGGCGGTCAGCGCTGAGAATGTGGTGGGCTGCCACTAATAAATGTATGGGAAACACTGTACCGGTTATCACTCAGATAAACATAGGCTATTTTAATACCGCCGTCTCCCTCATAGGAAACCTTGACATTTTTATTTTGTCATTTCACTTTGACATTTTTATTTGCTCCCTAGGTCAGGTTGCACCCCACAGCTCAATAACCTGCTCATCACCTTAAATTTCACTGCATTTGTAGTCAATGCCATATTATCCAGTAAACACTAATAAACGAACAGAACGGAAGTTAACTTTGGGCCAGCTC